CCTAAATGTTTTCCCAGATTCTGTGGTTCCTTCCCTTGCTGAACTGGGAGAGAAACCTCCATGGCATTTTCATCCTTCTGGAATGTAGACTCAATCTGCTTATACAAAGGTCTGCATACCCACAGTCCAGCCTTCCTGGACTTCACAACAACATGTTTTTTGATGCACTCCAGTTCTGGGGATTTCATTGATTGTATCATGTGGTCCTTGGATGAAAGGAAACACCTCTTCTTCCCCCTACACGCTCTCAGTTTTCATGCCTAAAATTTCATAAGCTTCAGCAAGTTACTTGTTCATCCTCATCAGGCATCAAACACTTCCACATGAGCAAGGGCCACATCCTCAATGAGCAGAATACATGCTTCCTTCAGTTACTTTTACTCTTTTTTTTTTTTTTTTTTTTTTTTTTTTTTTTTTTTTTTTTTGGTTTTTCAAGACAGCGTTTCTCTGTAATTTTGGTGCCTGTCAGATCTTGCTCTGTAGACTAGGCTGGCCTCAAACTCACAGAGATCTGCCAGGCTCTGCCTCGCGAGTGCTGGGATTAAAGGCTACTTTTACTCCTTTTAAGGAAAATGTATTTAGTTCACCTGTTGGGATACAGGCAGTGCTTCTCACAGGATGGCCTATGGAGCAACAGCATGGTCATCACCTTGATACCTACTGGGAACACCAGTTTAGGGGCCCTACTCCAAATTTCCAAACTGGAAACTCTTGATGTGGGACCTAGCAATCCATTTCAGCAACTTCTCCAGGCAATGAGAGGTTGAGAATCACTGAACAAAGGCTTTGTTTTGGATACAACAACAGAATTAAGCTAATAGACTATTTTCTTACTCATTCCGAGGATCACTTTTAAAAAAAAAAAAAATCTGTGCTTCTTAATGGTTTCTCTTACATAGATAGCCCTGTTTCTCACTGCACAGATAGTACTGAGAAAGACCTCTCCTAAGACATTTGAGACAGTCACTTGTGGTTTCCATTAGAATGTCTGTCCTTGAAATTCCTTTTATCTAATCAGTCAGAAGATGCTTCAAAAAACCAAGAGTTGGTGCATAGGTATAGCTCTATATCCAATACTGTGCACTAGAAACACAGGCAGATCCTAGTTTAGGACCACGCCATTCACAACAGCCAAGCTTTGGATCTACCTAAGCACTCATCAACAGATGAATGAGTAAAACAATGTGGCATAGATGCATCATAGAGCATTATTCAGCCATAATAAAGAAGAATGAAATCATGTCATTGGCATGGGCATTTGGATATCAATGGATAGAACTGGAGACCATGGTGTTGAGTGAAATAAAGTAGACTAGACTCAGACAAGTATTTTGCATGGTTTTTGTCATATATGGAATCTAGGGGTAAATATGATATGAGGGAACTACTGGAAAGGAAAAGGAAGATCAGAGTTGGAGGGTGATGGAGGGTAGCAAGGAGGGGGAATATGACCAGGGTACGTGATATGCATGTGTGAAAATATTACAACTTCAATGTAGGTTAATAATGCAAACATGTTAAAAATAAATTCATTGTATGTGTCACGCTTAGACTAATCACTGCTTTCTCTGTCTTTGAACCCTATCCTGTCCTGACATTAAACGATGAAGGCTGAGATTGCTAGCAAGCCCCACCCCCAGGACCACCTAAATTTCAGTGACATTCCCTAAAGGCCTAAAACATGGTGTCATCTGGATCAGACATGATGTCCAGACAAGCCCTCAAATCTCCATGATTCAAAGCTGCAAAGAATTTTTTCCACCCCCACTACATGGCCAATGTAAACTGGGAGCAAGAAAGCTCTGTTCAGAATGCAGATACTCACTATGGAAGTGGTCTGCTGCTGACTCAAGTCTTGCTTTGGGGTGTGGCCAAGGGACCTGTGACAAGGCACCAACCAGTTCTACCAGCTTTTGTTTAGAAGTGACACACTTCTGTGTCATCGACCATACAACTAGTGTAGGGCTCCTGACTTATATGGGGCCCTGAACTTTAACTCCCAGGAGAAATGACTATTATTAATCAGTTCTGGAACCTTATTCCATCATCTAAGAAGCCAGACCACCAACATGGAATTTTTGACTTCATAGATAGATAATGAGAAATGTGGGGCACGGTATGTGTGTTTGTAAGAGACAAGGGAAAGGGAGAAGGTGGGAGTGAGAGAGAGCGCGAGGTTTAGTGCACCTTAGAACCTTCTCTTGGGGAAGCTGCTTTCCATTCACTTTCAAGCACACCAGGATACTTCTTAGAAGAAGGATGCTAATGCTGATAGAATACACCTCCTGTGCCACAGCATTTGCTTTCTCAATCTTCACATCAACCTAATGCAATAAAGAAAGGAACTAACTTTGTACAAAGAAAACAAAGGCTCAAGTGATTTAGTAATTCTCTTCTGCAGTGACAGTGGACTGCCTTCAGTGGGGCACTCATTCATGGACGTAAGGACACCTGGATTGTGAACCTTACTGATCTCCCTGATTCTGCTACAGAGCCAGCCTCTAGCCATGGTTGGGGACCAATTTTAATCTACTGTCATTTTTTCATCAAAGTGAAGCTCTTTCCTTACTATAATAGTTTTAGAATTTCAAACAGACAGCAATTCTTCAAAGAAAAGTAGGGGAAATGTCATTATCGCATTCACCCAATTCACACGGGACATGTTAAAAAATTCTCTCTGTGGACACCTGGAACCAAAGATAGTATGAAACTGTATGTATGTATGATATTTTCTTTCATCGTATATTCCCCCATATACCCTAGACAGTGTTTAATTTATAAACTAAGGATAGTAAGAGTTATAATAATGGCTAGTATCAAAATAGAGCATTCATAACTGTGTTGTGTAATAAAAGTTGACTGTGGGTAAGTGAACCATGGAAAGAAAAAAAAAAACAAAGAGACGAGGGCCCACAGGATTCTTATGAAAAAATCTAGACAGGGAGCTAGGGAGATGCTCAGAGGTTAAGAGCACTTGTTGCTTTTGCACAGGACCCAGGTTGGATTCCCAGTACTCATATAGCAGCTCACAACTGCCTATAATCCCAGTTCCAGGAGATTTGAGGTACTCGTCTGGATTCCACAGGCAATGTACACATGTGATACACATACATCTATATAGGCAAAACACACATAAACATAAAATAAAAATAAATCCTTTAAAGATCATGGAGAGAAATCCATTTAAACCCAATATCTCCTTGGATTAATGAAAAATTAATTCAACTGACCCAACAAATGCCATTATCTCAGTAAAGAGTACTTGTGAGCTCTACATGCAAGAAGCTCGTTGCTAATATTAGCAGTTAACAAAAGTAAACTTCTTTGAGTATAATTCAGTTTCTCAATGGGCTAGAGCAGTGGTCCTCAGCCTTCTGAGTGCTGCGACCCTTTAATACAGTTCTCAGGTTGTGGTGACCCCCAGCCATGAAAATATTTTCATTGCTATTTTATAAGTGTAATTTTGCTACTGATATGAATTGTAATGTAAATGTTTTGGAGATTGAGGTTTGACAAAAGGGTTGTGCCCTACAGGTTGAGAACCATTGGGCCAGGTAGATGCCCAGTGGTTAACATCACATTTAGCTCTTATACAGAATCTGAGTTCGGTTCTCAGCACCCACACCTGGTCACCCACAACCATCTGTAACTCCAGCTCTAGGGGATCCCATGACTTCCTCTGACCTCCACAAGAACCACCACCCCTCTACACACATACACACTGATGAAAGGAAATCTTTTTTTTTTTTTTTTTTTTTTTTTTTTTTTTTGGTTTTTTGAAACAGGGTTTCTCTGTGTAGCTTTGCGCCTTTTCCTGGAACTCACTTGGTAGCCCAGACTGGCCTCGAACTCACAGAGATCCGCCTGGCTCTGCCTCCCAAGTGCTGGGATTAAAGGCGTGCGCCACCACCGCCCGGCTAGAAATCTTTTAAAAAATTCTAAACTATGAGATGCAAAGCGCCAATAAAGCATATTACAAAATGTCATTAGTGAAAATTTAAAATGCCGAGTAGTAAAGGAAGCTGGAATCTAGAAAGCACCTTGCAAAGTGGGTAACAAGCAAATATTCGGTCAACACTTACTTCAAGAATGCTGACTTCACTGAGAAACAGCACCAAAGCCTTGACACAAACATATCATGAAACTGTGTCAATTCGTCAATTTGATGCTAAACTCAGCAGCTCCCTCAGCAGGGCACTGGCTGATTCAAACACCTCCTAAGAATTCTCTGAACTAATGGGCAGGAACTCTGCCCAGGGCCAACCCCAAAGCAGCCCAGAATACAAACAACAAATGTCCAAAAAGGACATTAGCTCTAAAAGAGTGATTCAGACACAGGTCCTTCTAAGTGGGGATATGGCTCAAGAACAATTAAATATTATTCAATTGTCCTATCACCCCCATGTTGTCGCCATTGTGAAATGTAATTTCTCAGACATCACTTGGCTCTTATTATGACATCTGTTAGAGGCACACTTGGGAAAGCAGAGCTCTTGCTGAGGATTACTTACACAGAAATGTGGCCTGGTAGCATCAGAAATGACCACTTGTTTTTCTTCCAATTCCCAGGAGAGACTTGGGTTAAAATAAGATGACTTTGGGGAAAAAAAAAAAAAAAAAAAACTCTTGTGTAAATTGTGGAGGGAGCATAAATTCATCTCTAGGCCCACTTGTCTATAATATATTCACTCTGTGCACATTCTATAGCAATGATAAATCCAGCCTGACTCTAATTACTATGGTATCTATCTGTGCTCTCAAAAACATGCATGCATAAATCCTAAACACCCAGCAAACCACCAAACAGAAACAGCTGAAGGCACATGCGATGTTGGGGAGTGCCCTGAACTTGCTGATGGTCCTATCTTTAGCTTGTTAAAAGCCACCCACTCATCCTATAATTTTCCCTTTACTGTGCTTTTAGCTCCCTCTTCTTCCCAATGATGCTACGAAACAAGTTCATATATCACATACAGTACATTTCTCCATGTTTTCCAGATGGCATTTGATAAAATGGAAACAAAAGAAAGACATAACAAAGAAAAATCGATGCTTTCCTACTTTCATTATTGAAAGAGCTTTTCCTTTGGTAAAGAATAAGATGAACCCGTACAGAGGTAGTGAAAACGTCAAGAGATGTGCTTCGCTTTGAAAGATGCTTTTTGGAGTCACAGGTTGGGCCATTTTTTGTCTTCAGCCAAGCTATGCAAACTAAAGAGGAAGAGTTCTTTATCTGGGGTGTAAATGATTCTGAGCCTATGCTCCATGGAAGTCAACAATGGTTTAGGTGAGTGGTTTAGACATAACTTGACTTATCTCAGTCCCACCCTGACCATCAAACTCAAAGGGAAAAAATCTACAGTGACAATTCCATTATTTAAAGTCAGGATTTATAGACTCTAAGACCACTAAGATAAACTTACCTAGTTCATATATATCTGAAAACTATCGGAATAGGTCAGTTGAGAGGTGAAAACTTTGTGTTAGACTAGGACCTTCCTTAAACAACCAGCAAGCAGACAAACCTGAGATACTATTTTTCTTTCAAGAAACTGTGATGTAAATATATTTCATCAATCATTTGTGAAGCAAACAGACACACAAAATATGATAGTCTTCGATCAACCAAGCAAGATTATGTTTTCAGCCAGGAAAGAGAGCGAACTAGTGGTTGGTGCCATTGTCCCTGTAGGTCAATCTTCACTGACCCCAAGAACTGCCCCCCACTGCATGCTACCTCTTAGTAATCCCATCTCCTCCCCAAACTGCCTCCCTGTGAACCAAGCTTTCAATCACAACAAACCCTTGAGGGATATTCAAAGCACACCCAAAGCAGAACATCATTGGCTAAGGGACTCTCAGAAAGGACGTAATGACTGAGAGTCTTCGCCCAAATCATTTTATTAGACACCATTGGTGGGAGCTGCACTTGGATTTGGCCCATGACTGTAGGCTCAGTTTCTCCTATGGAGACCCCCATGACAGCAATGCCTGGAATCTCATTGATCTGAGGCACACAGGAGCTGTATGTTTTGTGTAAACTGCTATAACACATGAAGTCATGGTTTCACAATCTGAAGAGAAAAAAAGTGGGTTAATTTCTGTCTAATAGAGTTGGAGACCAAAGGAGATAAAAAGCACAGGGCAGGAAGTAGCTGGCACGTGACTGGTGTGTAAGAATGAATAGTTGACCAAAGATTATTTCTTTTTTATAGTTTTTTTCAGGTTCTAAAGAAAAGTGTTCACAATCATGGGTCCTCTTACAGTCAGACGGCACGAGATGTAAGATCTCTCAACAGAGTGCTACTCTTTCCCTGACCCACGTGTTTGCTTCCATCCGTGAGCCTCATATCGGGAATGTAGAAGCCACTAGTCTAAATGCTGAGCCAACATCTTTTTTCTTTCTTTTTTATGAATAACCTCCAACATTCATAAATTCAAGGAGCATTGCCCACTGACAGAAACTTTATCTACAGTTTCTTGTAAGGGAGCCAGTAATTATTGATTGTCCAAGTCCTAGGGGGTAAATCCTTGTCATTGCAACACCTTGTTTTACAAAAAGTCACATCCCTTTGTTTTGGTTTGTGACTATGATAGCACAGCAGAAACCATTTAGTGAGAAACTAATTCTGAATTTTGCTAACCCCACACAGAATACAAGGCACAGGGAAAACATGTAAGCACATACGAATGGAGAGAGAATGTTGGCAGAATTAAATCCAGCTAGGTTTGGAAGAAGGACATAGGCTGTAGGCTGGGTGATTGTTGATGAAGTCAAATCAATTCCCTTATTACTACGTTGTTGGGAGGAAAAGATAAAATGTATTTGAAAGCACTTTTTGAAAGCTCTATAAAATGTACCAGTTCATTAGTTTATTGTACTGTACTGGGGGTCAGAAGACCTGAGTGCCTCGGTTAGATTCACCTTTTCTTGGCTGCATAACCTTGGGGAACGCACTTTTGTTTCACAGTCCTCAAATTTCCTACAGAGAACAATCAAAAGTTTGAACCAATCTGTCCCATAAAGCTGTAAGATTTGAGCCTAGACACTCATGCCATTGGCTGACACTCCACGGCTCTTTCCAACAGGCATGCAGCCATTAGTTCCTTGTGCTCCTGGACCCCTGGGTGACTTAGAACCACAGCTTCAGTTTGTCCCCTCAGCACTGTCCCCAGGAAGGTCCAAATTTGCACATCCTACAGAATCATGAGGAGCACACATACCCAGAGAAAGACAGATGGCAACCAAGTTGCTAACCTTTAAAAAGATCTTAGTCTGGCTACCCCAGCAGTCTAGTGGCAGGAATCTGTGCCCAGAGGAGCGGAGACAGGTGAAAATGTCCCGGGCTGCCAGCTCAGATGTTGAAGATTCAGCAAGCTTTGCACCCCCTGCCTGGAAAAGAACAGCAATGCTCTTCCTTAGCAACTGCCCCAGCTCCCTAGGGTCTGTGTGAAACAAGAGCCTGGGAAAAATCCAGGTTTTCTCTTGTTTCAGCTCCACTGAGGGCATAGCAGCTTTGCTGAACATTTTAGAAAGAAAGGAATCCCAAGTAAGAATTTAGAATAAACGTATTTTCTTTTTTTCAGCAGAGCCTTATCTGTTGGTGAGCTTGCATGGAGTCAACAAGGACACATGACTATTAAGAGGCTAGAAATTGAGTATCCAGTGGAGTTCATCCTTGACAAGGTGAAAATCTTAGGAATCTGTCTATCTCCACTGAGAAGCCATGGAAAGCAAAAAAAAAAAAAAAAAAAAATCAAGGAAAGATTTGATTTTTTTTTTCTTGTAAGCGCACGTTATAACTAGAGAGACTAGGTTTGTGTTATGGGGAAAGAGCTGTTGCTCTCCTAATGGAAGTACCTGTGGCAGTGTGAGTTGTCTTAGTTGACACAGTCTTTGTAGATGCAATCAAGTTAAGAAGAGATCATTAAGAAAGTCCTTGACCTACAGATGACTCCAATTCTTGCAAGAAAGAACCATTGGCAGACACAAACACTCAGGAAAATGCCAGGTGAAGACATAGACACACAGTCACCAAGGGGAAGGAAGACACAGGTGCAGGGGAAGGAAGACACAGGTGCAGGGGAAGAAGACACAGGTGCAGGGGAAGAAGACACAGGTGCAGGGGAAGAAGACACAGGTGCAGGGGAAGAAGACACAGGTGCAGGGGAAGGAAGACACAGGTGCAGGGGAAGAAGACACAGGTGCAGGGGAAGGAAGACACAGGTGCAGGGGAAGGAAGACACAGGTGCAGGGGAAGAAGACACAGGTGCAGGGGAGGACACAGGTGCAGGGGAAGGAAGACACAGGTGCAGGGGAAGGAAGACACAGGTGCAGGGGAAAACACAGGTGCAGGGGAAGGAAGACACAGGTGCAGGGGAAGACACAGGTGCAGGGGAAGGAAGACACAGGTGCAGGGGAGGGAAGACACAGGTACAGGGGAGGATACAGGTGCAGGGGAAGGAAGACACAGGTGCAGGGGAAGGAAGACACAGGTGCAGGGGAGGGAAGACACAGGTACAGGGGAGGACACAGGCGCAGGGGAAGAAGACACAGGTGCAGGGGAGGGAAGACACAGGTGCAGGGGAAGGAAGACACAGGTGCAGGGGAGGGAAGACACAGGTGCAGGGGAAGAAGACACAGGTGCAGGGGAAGAAGACACAGGTGCAGGGGAAGGAAGACACAGGTGCAGGGGAAGAAGACACAGGCGCAGGGGAAGAAGACACAGGTGCAGGGGAAGGAAGACACAGGTGCAGGGGAGGGAAGACACAGGTGCAGGGGAAGAAGACACAGGCGCAGGGGAAGAAGACACAGGTGCAGGGGAAGGAAGACACAGGTGCAGGGGAAGGAAAACACAGGTGCAGGGGAAGGAAGACACAGGTGCAGGGGAAGGAAGACACGGGTGCAGGGGAGGAAGACACAGGTGCAGGGAAGGAAGACACAGGTGCAGGGGAAGACGCAGGTGCAGGGGAAGACACAGGTGCAGGGGAAGGAAGACACAGGCGCAGGGAAAGACGCAGGTGCAGGTGCGTGATTCTGTCTGAATCTAGGGGGTGTCTCAGCTGCTGAAAGCCAGAGTCAAGGAAAGCTCCTTTCCTAAAGGACTCAACACAACAGACCTGCAAATATTGCGAACATGATTTCAGACTTCCAGCCTCCAGAACTGCAAAGCAATGTTTGGTCATTTTTATGCATCTAGTTTGGGTTACTTCATTATGTCAAGCCTAAAACATTATCATAATTTCTTTTTTTATTTACCCTCTAATAAGTATGTGTCTTCCAATCTTGTGGGACTCAATAGCTTCGTCAGTAAGATGGAAATAATGATAGACTCTGCCTTAGAGAGTTGTCATGGAAAATAAAATGTTTCATTTACATATTTTATAAATAAGTCTTTTAAAATAGTGTTACTACTGTGACAGCTTATATAGGTGTTTTAGTGATGATGGTGATAATGAGTCTATAACATATCCTTTTAAAGGCCCCTAATAATGAGAGGGACTCACAAGCTCCCATCCATAAGGAGATATTGTCAGTTGATGGCTTTGCGGGGAGGGGATAGTTAGGTTTTGTTGTTGGTGGTGGTGGTTTTTTGTTTGTTTGTTTGTTTGTTTGTTTTTTGGGGATTGGCCCCAGGTAGGTTAATCAAGCTTCAGTACAAATTGGGCTCAGTGGATTATGGAAGGGGGAAAAGAAAAGAAACAGAGAAAAGGATACAAAGTTGGGAAGGGATGGACCTGGGAACAATCGGTGGGAGGAATGGGAAGTAAGCAGGATCAAAATACATTGTATAAAATTCTCAAAGCATTAGTTAAAATATCATATTAAAATGAAAAATTAAATCATACATCCTTACTTTTTAAACCAAGAAGGCAACAGGACCTGATGGTTATTGTTTTAAAACAAAAACCAGGTCTGATTTTAAAATAGTAGTAAGTGGGGGTGTAAGTGCAAAGATATTTTAAAAGCCCAAGGTGTCAACAAAAATAGATCAAAATGGTCTACAATCAAATCCATGATTTCAAAAGATATAGGTATGCCAGGAAAGTCTGTCCCTCTAGTGACGACCTACATGTTATCACTCCTGAATTCACATCTTTCTAATCATACATAGAAAACACAGAGGCCGAGTGGAGGGGACATCTTTGTTCTTTGCCCATGCACACATTCCATACAGATGCCAGCTGCTCACCCCGTGCGGCCAGTGTCCCTGGCATACTTGGGAAATGCATGGGTGAAGCAGATTTGGATATGGGTGTCAGCAAGAACCGGAAATAGTGTCCTGTAAGCATAATTGCATCTTTCCTGGGCATTTAAAGCATTGCTTTAAATCTGCCAAGGTCCTTCCTGACAGTGTCAATAAGGGAAACCCCTAGCCACATTTACATTCACTGCTGAGTTTATATGGGTGCTTTGCAAAGAAGAAAAGAGCTTAGCTTTAAAAAAAAGAAAAAAAAAGGCGGGGAGGGGAGGGGATGTAGCAAGAAATACTGTCAGCTGCACAGCAAGGGGAGTGGTTAAACAGCTGTCTTTCCTAAACTCATCTCTCTATTGGGAGAGGTCTCAGGGTAAAGCATAGTGCCATCGCATTGACAGTTCATGGCTGGCACTCAAGACAAGGTCAAGCACTAATGGTCCTTGGCAATATTTACCTGTTTACTTATTGCAGCACTGTAAGCAGGAGCTGCCAAGCTATGTCTCCCACTCTATTTTCTTTCTTTCTTTTTTCTTTTCCTTTTTTTTTTTTTTTTTTTTTTTTTTTTTTTTTTTTTTTTTTTGAGTTCAGGTCTCTTCAAATGGCTCAGACTGACTGGCAATCCTTTGGTCTTCACTTCTTGAATGTTGGGATACTAGGCCTCTGCCAATGTGCTACAGTAGACTTTTAGTAGTTACCAGGGGATCTAGAAGTATCCTGATGGACTTTTGACTAAGGACGCCAGGTAAGAAATCATAAGACCTTTCAAGCTCAACGAAGAAATTATGACCAGTCAGTCCCAGTTTGTTGATTATGCCTGAACATAAACAGTAGATGATATGATACACAGCCTTTATGTTCTAAAAAGAAAAACAAATATATCCTAAGCACATATATACTGTATCATCATGATAAACCTTTCACAACAGCATCTTGTGTAATTCTCTCAAAATGTCATGAAGTATTATTATACCCACTTTATTCTTCAAAATATAAAGCAATGTAGTGCATTAAAAGTCATCAACTTGGATCAGTCAGTTTTATATCATATAAGAAATTATATGATTAGTCAACTTTTAAGAGAAAGGATTTATTATCTCATAGTTCTGGAGACTCCTGTCCAAGACTCCAGAACTATGCACTCATTCATGTTTTGGGTATGACAGGAGTGGCAGGGGACCAATTCCAGTCATCACCTCACTAGCCAGGAAATGGAAAGGGATACTGAGAGATTGGGAACCCATAATCCTTTTCAAAGACACACTGCAAATGACCTAAGAACTGTCCAGCAGGGCCCACCTCCTGTGGGTTCCAGTACTTCCCAATAGCACTACTCGATGGGTCAAACATTGACCTCTGGGGGACAGTTGTACAACCACAACGCAGTCTGAGGTACACTGACCAGCAAACTCAGGCTCCACTTCTTGGTCTTCAAGCTGGAAAGGCTTTGATCTTCCATATCAACTTCAAGCTTGAAAACCCTTGATCTTCCATAATAACTCAGCCTGTTCAGTAACCAAGGCTTTGTTTTTAAGAGAGAAATTATAAACTAAGAGCCCAAGTCAAGATGCATTTGAAAGATGTGAACAATCTGGGTTTGGAAGAAGGATAAGGCAGCAGATCCATCACTTGCCTTCCACATCAGCAGCAGGAAGAAAACTAGAGTATTCCTTTGAAATATCTGCGATCCTCATATCAATCACAGAGTGATTCAGAAGGCTGACATGTGTCAGTATCTTTGTCTACATACACTGTTACTGTCTAATCCAAAAGAGTATGCCTCAAAGACTTTCCAAAAAAGACAGTACCCACGTCAAGGTTATGACAAAGGCTGGCACAATTTATGCAGGGAGTCATGTGTGATGTGCTTACTAAGCCAGCCCTGAGGGTCAATGTTGAGTTATTTTATTCATGAAAGCATTTACTTAATCATTCATTCCTTCAACCACTCGCATACTGTTGACTTAAATACTTTAGATATTCATCATTTGCCATTATTTTCTTTGGGAATATCTCAAAATCCACTGCTTTTCTTCAAAGCCCTATTATCACGTTGATCAACGCATGTTGTCAGCGATCCTTAGTACGACTCTGAGATGATCTGTCAAAAGGGGGAACCAGGCTCACAGAGGTGATGCCTTGCAAAGGATTATATTAGAGGAAGGCTAAGTTTCCTGTCTTTTTCTGATCAATTCCTCTTAAGGTTCATTTAAATGTCCTAGGTGGGGCTGGAGAGATAGCTATGTCAGTGACAGCACTGGCTCGACAGCATGAGGATCTCAGTTCGAATCCCTAGGACGTCCATAAAAACCTGAGCATGGCTGTCAGCAACTTTAATCCCACCATTGTGGGGCTGAGACAGACAGAGGTCCACAGCCCACTGGCCAACCAGGTCAGCTTAGCCAAAAATAGCAAGTTTCCAGTTCTATGAGAGAACCTGTCTCAAGTCAAGAATGTAAAGAATGACAGAGGAAGCATAAGACATTCTTCTACTCTGGCTTCTGCATGCACATACCTGTACAGTCACAGTCACACACACACACAAACACACACACACACACACACACACACACACATGCAAAATAAGCAAACACATTCCCTAGAGTGATGTCACTCAAATTATAAAAACTTCCTAATTGGCCAACTTAATAAAGCAGTTTTTCACACTTAAGAAAGGAATTAGAAGGTATCAAGGCAGATTTCTTAAGGCTTATTCTTACTTATTTATGGTGATACTTTATTTGTATTAAAATGTTATTTGTATGTTAATAAATAAAGTTCCCCGGGGGTCAGAGCTATTAGCAAGCCATAGGAAAGCAGGGCAGTGGTGACGTACTCTTGTAATCCCAGCACTTGGTAGGCAGAGCTGGGTAAGTCTCTGTGTGTTCAGGGATACAGCCATTATTGGATACACATGCCTTTAATCTCAATACCAATCATGGAAAACCTGGAGGCCTATACAGACAGGCCGTGAGGAGGCGGTCATGTGGTTGGGTTTACAACCAATGAGAAGGCAGGACAGGAACTCTATATAAAGACTTTAACACAGGGGTAGCTCTGGTTCGGAGAGGTAGGACCACTGCAGGAGGAAGGGTAAGGTTTTAGCTCTTAGCTCTGACCTCTTGGCTTTCTTCTCTGCATTGGTTCTGTGTTTCTTATTTAATAAGAAGGTTGGATACATCTACACATATTATTGGTTTAATCACAAAGACAGCAGGAAATTGTTACTTCTCTGTAACTGGGGCTAGCCGCTGAGTGAAGTGTGACATCTTCAGCACTGAAGTGCACAGGCACAGAACGGAAGAGGGGCAGCTGCTGCCCAAAGGATTCTGCTTACCCTCCAACCTTATGTAATCATTAATAGATTCCTATACAGCACAAGGCAGGAATTGCTCCTATTTTTAGAAGAGCTTATTAAAGGAGTGTTTGCTTAATCTTCCTTTCGATACAGAAATAAAGGCAACCATGCACTTCTTAGATCTGGTGAGACAAAGGTATGCTTATAACCTCCTCCATCCTAGAAGGATGTTATAGATTATTTCATTTACTCATTCAGCCAACAAAAATTTTATGAGTCCTTCAGACACAGTAGGGACTCTTTACACTTGATTGAAATGGGACAGATAACACTCTCCTATAATGTATATTTTACTGATGGCAAAACAATGACTACAAACAGACTAAGTCCACAAAACATATAAACAACACACATGACTCTGGAGACAGTAGTAATACTACAGAGAAACATAACGAGAAGGAAGGGTGGATTGAGGTGGGAAGGTAAGGAGGGAGGGAGGGAGGGGTAGTGGGTATGATGTTTTAAATGAGATATTCCCCATTAGTCTTAGGCATTTGAAAACTTGTTCCCCTGTTGGTTGTTTGAGAAGGATTAGGAAGTGTGGCCTTGTTGGAGGAGGTGTGTCACAGGGGACGGGCTTAGGGTTTTAAAAGCCTCCAGCCATACCCGGCGTGCTCTCTCAGTCTCTAATGTATGAATCAAGATGTGACCTCTCGGCTCTTCCGGCTGCCATGTCTTTGTTCTGACATCATGGACTCTAACCTTCTGAAACAATAAGCCCAATGAATATGTTTCCTTGGTCCTGGTGATTTGTCATAGCAAAAGAGCAGCTAAAACAGTGGAGTTCAGTTGACAGAGACATAGCATTCTAGGAAAGCTTCATAGGAACGGTATTTGTTCTAATGTCTAATGGCATTGGGGTTGGGAACAGGAAAATACTGTACAGGGAGGAGGAATTGGAGAAAGACCAGACAAAAATCTTAAGAGGGGAGCATGCCTGATGTGGTTCAAGGCCAGAAAGGTGAGTGTGACTACAAGGAGAGAAGAGTCATACCATGGGATTGTCTAGGCTGATAGGCAGGCAAAGACTGTTGAAACCACAGGTCACCAATATCTGAATTTTGATAACTAGTAGTAAATAGAATAACGGTCCCCAAAGATGTCCCCATCTCAATTCCCAGAATCTAGAAAATACGTTATATGACAAACGAAACGTTATAGGTATAGTGACGTATTGTCTGAAGACCAAGAGCACATCCAACCTTCAGCCCTTGGGATGTGTATAGCCGAGAATAGCTACATATGCAGCCCAACACAAAGTCATTAATGAATTTAAACCATGATAATACTTAAAGAACTCAACTGCAGTTATGAGCATGAACTTTATAGACAACAATGTTGTATCACGATGTCAAAAGCTTGGCTATGCCTGGACACTATTATCTGGATTGTCCAGCTGCACTGAGTGTCATGACAAGCATCCTGAAGAGAGGGAAGAGACAGAGGAGTTGGAGGAGGAGACTCGCTGACCCAAGCAGAGGTCAGTTTAACTCAGTCACTGCCCTTGAAAACAGGAGAAGCTATCACAAGCCAGAAGTTCAAGATGACCCAAAAGCTGGAATAGAAGTAACAGATACTCTCCAAGAGCTTCTAGAAGAAACACAATTATGCCAGAATTTTTTATTTTATTTTATTTTTTATTTTTTTATTTTTTTTTGGTTTTTCGAGACAGGGTTTCTCTGTAGCTTTGCGCCTTTCCTGGAACTCGCTTTGGAGACCAGGCTGGCCTCGAACTCACAGAGATCCGCCTAGCTCTGCCTCCCGAGTGCTGGGATTAAAGGCGTGCGCCACCACCGCCCGGCTCGGAATTTTTTATTTTAAGCCCACAAGATCCATTTGGAATTTCTGAACTTCAGAAGTATATGACGTGTGTGTGTCTCTGTGCGTGAGTGCGTGTGTGTGTGTGTGTGTGTGTGTGTGTGTGTGTGTGTGTGTGTGTATCTGTGTCTGTGTATGTTGTATATGCGTGGCATGCATGCAGGTGTATTCCTGCATATTCTCGTGAATATAGGCACACGTGTGTGTGTGCAGAATCATAAGCAGGTTATTAGAAGTTGATGCCCGTTTTTTTTTTTTTCTTTGCCCATTCTCTACATTATCCACTGAGGCTGGGTCTCACACTTGAACTCAGAGCTTACCAATTTGGCAAGTCTGACTAGCCAGCTTGCACAGGGGAGCCTGTCTCTGTCTTCTGAGCACTGCAGTTACAGGTGGGACTCAAAGACCGTGCAGCATTTATAATTGGTGTTTTGCCGCAGAGAGAGACAAAAGCTGCTGCCCTGCATGGATTCTCTTCTTTACTCAGCCTGGGATTCCACCTTATGAAATGGTCCATCTCCGACCAGGAGATGGGTCTTGCCAACTCACTTAACCCTGTCTGGAAACACCCTCATAAACATGCCCAGAGATCTCTTTTTTTTTTTCTAGATGATTCTCAATCTCATCAAATTAACAATCAAAATCAACCACACATCCCCAAAGAAGAGAATTCTGGACCCAGAAAACAGAACTGGCATGTGATCTTTTCACAAGCAGAAAGGGTGAGCCACAGCTTCTATCTCTTCCTTCCATTACAAATTGATGTATTATTTAAGGATGAGGGCCTGGAACTCTTGTCAATCTTTGAGTGCTGGTAATCTATCCAACAAACATGGTATCTTTTAAAATTCACACACACACATACCAAAAAAAAAAAAAAAAAGCTTTCTTGTTCAGAAGGGATTGCTTTGTTATAACTGCTTTTAAAATAACTGTTGTTCTGATAGAGTTGAAGAGCCTGGGTGGTCAGGGACCTTGGAAGTATATTTTCTTGTCTTGGCTACATTTTTTTCCTAGCCCATGGAATAGCGGTTTATTTAATCTGCTTGCAGTTGACACATGTCTCCATCCACTTCCCAGAGAAATCCGAGCTAACTAAAATAAGTCCTGTGTAAATAAATGTCTCCAATCTAACCCCTACAGTAATATCGCCTCTTAGATTTTCCTTGAAGATCTGTCAGCAGATCTGCAACTCTGGAACCCACCCCAATCGGAGCTGTTGCTCAAGTGCAGCCTGGTATAAACTCTGAAAGATGGGCCATCCTCAGGCACGCTCTTCCTCCACCACACAAAGAGCTCCTCCCCATCAGTCAAGTCAGCAACTGTGGAGCTTGGGTCCCGTGCCAGATTCTTGGCTACAAATGAAAGGATAGAAGTAATCCTGTCCCTTTAGCAGCTCATGTGCTGACTGGGAAAGCAGAGTTATGAAAAGACTGCAACCATTGGAAGCGTGTCCAACCAATCATGCTGTGGGATGTTCTGTATGGCAAATGTGTTGCTAATTAGTCAATAAATAAAACACTGATTGGCCATTGGCTAGGCAGGAAGTGTAGGTGGGACAAGGAGGAGAATAAAGCTGGGAAGTGGAAGGCTGAGTCAGAGAGACACTGCCAGCCACCACGATGAAAAATAGCATGTGAAGATGCTGGTAAGCCACGAGCCACGTGGCAAGGTATAGATTAATGGAGATGGATTAATTTAAGCTGTAAGAACAATTAGCAAGAAGCCTGCCACGGCCATACAGTTTGTAGCCAATATAAGTGTCTGTGTTTACTTGGTCGGGTCTGAGCAGCTGTGGGACTGGCAGGTGAGAGAGATTTATCCTGACTGTGGGCCAGGCAGGAAAACTTAAGCTACAAATGGCGTCCAATGTGGTGGCAAGAGTTTCCATCTAAAAACTGAGAAAAAAGATTCTAAAACAGAGCTAAAAACAGTTCCTAATTGTCTCTCTCAAATGAGCAGCAGCTGCCGGTTTGAGCTACGTGTGGGTTTCTGGTGTGCGTGCTTGACCTGCAGTATGGCAGTAATGAGGCCTCTGCACGTGGCACATTAAGCTGCGTGGTGGATTTAGCCTTTCCAGGTACAAAACAAAAAAAAGAGGTTTCTGGACTACAAGCTGCTTGGATAAAAGCATAGACCCATGATAGCTCCCAGAGCTGGTGGTAAAGTACCACCGCCATGTTGGGAAGCTGAGGTGGGCGGAGTCTGCAGCCACAGCTGCTGCAGTTTAAGGCAATAGATTCACAATAAGACAGATTCAGATGTAATAGTTTACAATGTGTGTAAAATATACGTAGGCATAAAAGAGACAAAAAAGGTGATATATAGAGTTATAGAAACAAATACATAGTTTTAAAAAATAAAGTCTTTAAAGAGACAGTAAAGGTAATATAAAAAATAAGCCACGTAAAGATGAATATTACACAGAGAATCTGGATTGTGTTGTCTTTGGGATTTTTAACTGCAGAAAAACATTTGATTGTAAAAGCTGTTGAGTTATGCCAAAATGTATATTTTAAAGATACCTTGACTTCAAAATTTGGATATAAGGATATGTTGCTTTGGAAAAGAGTCTCTTTTGTTTCCACAGAAAGCCAGAGGCTATGGATTTGTTCAAGATTAAGATACATCAGGTTTGACCAGCCAAGACCCCCTGAAAGGTTTCCAATGACACGATGGCCCAGATGATCCAACATCCAGAATGGTTTGAAGGCAACTGGCTCAGACGATACAGCCTCATGGACTATTCCATAATCCTAAAATTTTCTTTGTTTCCCCATAAGATACAGCGCCCCCCTCCAGCAGGAAGTAGTAAGAGAAGCTATGCCCAAATTCCCAAATTATATGTTATTTTACTTTGTTAAGGTTAAAACCTTCCTTTTTGGAAAAAAAAAAGGGGGGGGGAAGTGCTGTGGGATGTTCTGTATGGCAAATGTGTTGCTAATTAGTCAATAAATAAAACACTGATTGGCCATTGGCTAGGCAGGAAGTGTAGGCGGGACAAGGAGGAGAATAAAGCTGGGAAGTGGAAGGCTGAGTCAGAGAGACACTACCAGCCACCACGATGAGAAACAGCATGTGAAGATGCCGGTAAGCCACGAGCCATGTGGCAAGGTATAGATTAATGGAGATGGATTAATTTAAGCTGTAAGAACAGTTAGCAAAAAGCCTGCCATGGCCATACAGTTTGCAGCCAATATAAGTGTCTGTGTTTACTTGGTCGGGTCTGAGCGGCTGTGGGATTGGCAGGTGAGAGAGATTTATCCTGACTGTGGGCCAGGCGGGAAAACTTAAGCTACACAATCACTCTTTGGAAGAGGGAAAAGAATTGGAGAGGGATCAGTGTTGCATGGGGGAACATCAGAGGTTGGGAAGGAGGAAGATCAGGTGACTTGCTTCTTGTCCTATGTGGTAGACCATAGAGTTCTTCCAAACAGCCCAATCTGGAATGTCCAGAAATGTTAGTTGCTGAGGTAGCTGTCCCACGTAATGCTGCCCATGAGAGGGCAGGTCTGAAATACACTGGTGGTCTCTGCATGCCTCTACTGAAGGGTTTTTAACAGTGTCACTTCACAAACATCCCCACAGGTCACATAACAAACCCAATCACAAGGAATGAGTTCTGGCTTTCTTACACACCCCTGGTGCTAACAGTTTCATTCCTAATTGTTTACTTAAAATCCTGACCAAAGACCAAATGATCACAGTACCTAACAGCATGTTAGCAAAGGGTCCTCCACCCCAGCACTGTGCAATCCACATGCCTTCCTTTCTCAAGATATGGCTCATGTTCCTGAGGGTGCAACAGTAGCATGCTTCCCATACTTTCAAGGTAATCAACACTGAGTCGGTGCAGAGTTTGTGTTCAGACCTCACAAGCAAGCCATCAATTCCCTAAGAGTTAGCTCTCTGTCTCCTCACCTCCTTCCACTTCTCACTCACTCCGTCATCCCACCATTATGGGGATGTGGATGAGATGGAGACGAGAATTCTGACATACCTGATGAATCATGTTCACATGACACCCCTCTGGTTGGGCTCCCCCTGCTTCAGCTATCCAGCAAGTTATGAAGTCACATTTCAGGGGAGTGCCCGCTGTCTTCCAATACCTCGTTTCCTGATGCCATCAAAACCTCACACCTGTGCAGGAGGTTGACGTTAAGAGCAGCCTCACGGACCACAGGCTGACCTTCTGGGTTTTTTTCATTGATTTTGAAGTTGCAAGACTAAATCATAACATACTTCCCTCCAAATGGTTTATTCCCCAGGATTATGTGAAAACACTCAACAGAAAACAACAATTTTATCTGCTTTTAATTTTAAAGGAAACAAAGCATGTGAGTTGAGGTTCTGGCTCTTCCACAGTCATGATGGCATGGTCCTAGAACAACAGGTTTGCTTTATGTAAATCACTGCTCTGCACAAAGCCTGGAAAACATGAATGTGTGAAAAATCCATAGAATCAAGGGCCACACTGTTCAAAATGCTGTATTCTAGTATATAGTTTAATCTTTTTCTTCAGCATTCATTGATCTTTATGAACTGGGTGCTGGGAATTCAAGGATGCTGCTCCTCTTTGTGGGAGGTGCAACAAAGATAACAGCTGCTTCTTAGCAGAGGGGAGGTGGAAAGCCCTCCCAAACCTCACTCAGTGAGAGGTGTTCCAGATGGGGAAACCAAGACTCAAGTGTGGCAAGGAGCTCTTGTTTCTCCTATCAAATACCACTCCTGGGTTTTCCGTCTTATAGACTGATGATGTCTTAGTGTCTTTTCCTGGAGCTGTGATAAAATCTTCTGAGAAAATCAACTGAAAGGAGAAATGGTTTGCCCTAGCTCACAGTTAGATGATACACTCCATCTCACAGCAGGGAAGTTCTGGCAGCAGTCACTTGAGGTGGCTGGTCACATTGCATACACAGGGAAGTGGAGAAAATGAATGTCTGTGCTCAGCTCACTTTCCTCATTTTATACAGCCTGGGATCCAAGAACAGAAAATGATGCCGCCTGCAGTGGAAAGGCCTTTTTACCTTAACTAACCCAAGCAAGATAATTTACTACACACATGCCCAGAGGCTGGTCTCTGAGGTGAGTCTAGATCTCATCAAGATGACCATTGAGATTAACCATCACAGCTTACCAGGAAGCAACTGTTGACGCCAAAGATGCAGAGGGAGAAAGTGGCAGAGCATGGACTAGAATGTATCCACCTAATGCTGCCACTGACTTCCGTGTGCATGCACAGGTTCTCGGTCAGTATTTCTCCCCTAAAAATGCTGACTTGGTAGGTCCGCATGGAGGCTCTTCTTGTTGTGTGTTATCTTTAGGCAACTCGCAGAAACTTTGGAACAGATGAGTTCTAATCTTCTCACTGCAAGAATATTTCAAAATAAGACAAATCAAAGATGGGCTAGGCTGATCAGCTATGAATACAGAGGAGTTAGCTTCCAAAGATGAAAGCCCTTGCCAGACTGAGTGTCTGTGCTGGCCATTCCCTTCCTGTCTCCTGTTGATCTCACCAGCCCCCTGTGGTGTCCTGAGTAAAACCATTCATTCACATTTACATGTATGGAGGATTCCTAAAAGGCCTAAGAACTTCCAGCTGCCAGTAGACCACAGCCTATTAAAATAATTTACAACACTGAAATCTGAGGTATGTAAATAAGCATATGGAAAGAACGAGCATTTGTACAGGTTCAAGATGCCGAGTCCAAAATCCAAAGTACTCAAAACTCTGAGACTCTCAGAGTCTCAGTGATGCTGCCTGTGAAAACTCCACAGCTGACTCAGGAGGTGTGTCACAGTCAAAGTGTGGGTGCACGAAATACAGAACACAAGGTTATCTTCAGGCCATGTGCAAAATGGACATAAGAAGCATAAATAATCTTTCTAGATTTGAGTTCTGTTCCTAAGGTATTACATTATACATATGCAAACATTCCAAAACCAGACACATTTCCAGCTCCAAACATAGAGAATACTCAGCATACACACACACACACACACACACACACACACACTCATACACACACACACATACACACACATACATACACACACACATACACACATGCACACACACAGACACACAAGCACACAGACACACACATGTACAGACACACATGCACATACACACACACACACACACACACACACACACACACACACACTTGGTGGGGGATAACCAAGGTAACCACCAGAGTTTTAGAATTTTACTTGACATACTAAATAGATTTGTTGGGATATGCTGTCATAGTTGTTGAACCAAGAAAAGCAAAAATTGTGTTCCTATTTGACCCTTTGTTATTTTGTGGGGAGTGTGAAGGGTGTGTGTACATGTACAGAGTGCATACATACATGGGAGTATGTAGATGTACTCACCCGTGTACTTAAGTGGAGAAGCTAAAGGAAGACAGCAGACATGGCCTAGAAACATGACCTCTCGCTGAACCAAAAGCTCACCATCTCCACTAGGTTGGCTGGCCAGTGAGAATCTGCTTGTCTCTGTTCCCCAATGATGAGATTACAGGCCCAAGTAGCCATGCCCAGCTTTTTACGTGGGTGCTGAAGCTACTGACCCGGGTCCTCATTTTCATCCAACAACACTCCTACCCAGCAAGCCATGTCCCCATCCCCACACGTTCTTTGGATAGGCAAATGATTGGAACAGGAAGGAAGCCTTCAGCCTGTCACCTCCCCGTACTAAAATCAGAAATGTCAGCACTGGCACAAATCTGTGGACACATCCTTCCAACTCACTCACTGGTTCGAGTTTCATCCACGTAGACATCATCGATGGAGGGTTTGGTTGTGTCCTCCAGTGCCACGACTCTCTCCATGACAAGGTTAGAGACACAGACATGCACAGGCGGGTAGTGTTTGAAGTCATGGTGGCACAGCTGATGAGTAGCTGCAATACTTTTGGTTTGTTTTGCCTTCTCTTCTATTTATTTGAGTGAAAGAATTATAAAAAAAAAATTGATTGGAAAGAGCTCACTACATTCTGGAACTGCCTTGGCTGCAAATATCTGATGAAGCCAGGGAAGGGCCTCGCAAGAAAATCACAAAGTATTCAAGTAATTTAAGGGAAACCAAATTTCGTGTGTGTGTGTGTGTGTGTGTGTGTGTGTGTGTGTGTGTGTGTGTGTGTGTGTTCTGAGTTTCTCCCTTTGATTTCCATGCATCTAACTCCTTGTTTTTCCAGTAGAACAATTATTAGCGTCTTCTTTTTGGTAAACACAATGTGCGGGGTGGGGTGGGGGGACGGAGTGGAGAAGAGGGGGGACAATGTAGGGACTCCAGGGAGATGGGGCAGTCAAAGTGACCCTGGCTCACAGAGAAGGATGCGAATCACCCCTTCTGTTCGTGTGTAAATGGTCCCGTAGGTGAGGCACATAGATTGGAAATCAGAAAACAGCTAAGTGCTTAAGTTGTCCCTAGGGTGCCCAGTGTTCTCCCCCAATACCTACTGTCTTTTAAAAGGAAAGATCTCTTTTTCTACCCCAAAAGTAAATCATGCCACCTACAACAGAGAAGCAGCCTAAAGAAAAAGGAAAATGTAGAATGTGTGAGTATCAGTGGCTATCTCAGGAAAAACGGGCATTGTCATTTTATTGCTGCGGTAGAATGAGACCCCAAAGTGGTTAGATGTGGGTGGGGAGGAGTGACTGCCTCCCTCGCCCCCACCCCCCATCTTCCTCCTCTCTTCTCCTCTTCTGTAGTTAACTCCAGTTTTTCCTTCACTTCTTCATCGTTCTGTTTCTCCTTCCCACCTCCCTTCCTCCATCTCTCCTTTCCTCACTTTCTTACTTCATCCCTCCATCCCTTCTTCCATCTTTCCTTTCTTTCTTCCATCCTTCCTTCCTTCTTTCTCTATAGGCCTACCCCCTCCTTCCTTTCTGGCCATCTCTGTGCCTGCATTTTGATTTCTCTTTTTTACTTGTGGAAGGGCCCGGGAGGCGGTGAGTGTTGCTAGTCTTCTCTTTGCTTGTTTCCAGCCTCCCTCCCTCCGGTTCTGGCGATTACTGTCATCACAGTCCAGTTCCCTTGTTAGGCTCCTGAAGGGTAACATCGCTCAGGCAAGATAAGTCATTGGGAGCTGATTTTAGAATTTAAACCCCAAGCAGAAGTGGAGGATTTAAAATTCTGAGCCCAGCACA